CCCCAAAACCCCAAAACCCCAAAACCCCTATAAAAGAATATAGCTTGATGGTGATAATATATAAATATGAATAAACTAATTCACTTTGAAGAAAACTTATCTGAAGAACTTCTTGATGAGGATGTCTCTGTATCAAGATTAAACATGTCTCCCAATATTGAAAAGAATATGGTTGGGTCTCCATTCCATTTCGGTCATAATTTCATGAAATTGGGTGATAAAGAGTCCTGTCCAGAACCTAATTCTGCATGCAAGTCACCATCCTGTGCAAGCAGTACTCTTGAGGTACCTTCAAATGATTTTTCTTGCTCTAAATCCAAGAAAAATGATAGAGCTCAACGAGCAAGTTTGAAGGAAGACATAAAAGATCTCCTGCATCAAGCAATAAGACTAAGGAGTCTTCCAAATTGCAGCAAAAAAGAAAAATGTGAGGAAGTACCAGCTCTCCGTCGCTTTAATGGAGAAATCACCATGAGAGACATTGAAGCTTCTTAAAGCTTTATCAATATTATCTAATAATTCATTCATAAATATTATATAATAAACTGCTCTTTTTCTTTGGCCATTATTCCTTGCGTCTTGTCGATAATCACTCCTAATGATGCTCATAGTTTTCTAGATGGTTAAACTTGGAAATGTCTTAAAATTTCTCAAATATAATATAACTTTGTCATGAATCACTCCAAAAATAATATGTTAGAAATATTTTTTTTCATAATTTGGATAAAAATAACAACTTAGGGCTATAGTTGCACTCAAGTTACATTGCTTCATAATTTTGTTCAATTAGAACCAATGTTAGATTCAGAAACTCCTGCTTGAGTAGATTAATAGGGATTCTGCCAAATTTTTATGGTGATACTAGGTTATTATAAAGCAAATTTTGGTGATGAAAGCTGCTTACTACCCATCCTCTTTAACTAAGGACGAAGCTTTAATGACTATACAACATATTTGACAATATTTTAATACGAAATAAGTTCTTTGAGGCCATATTTCATAAATGCTTGCAATTTTCTATCTCAATAATTTAGCATTTTCACCGCTGGAATAAACTGCCTCAATGATTTGTTTCTACATGGGGCCTTGACCTTGAGAGTTCTTGTTATTAATATCTGATTAAATTCTTGAAGAAATTTTATTAGATTATAATATTGTTCTGAAAGGATCTTGTTCTTTTTATTAAAAATCCAAACTTTACTATCTATTTTACTACCAGCTTTGACTGAAAGTACGAATCAAAAATTTGTATAATAAGGTTGAGCCTCTTGCTTTCCCTTTACAAGCCAGCAACTTTAAGGAAAATAGCTATTTTGCAACAAATTTGTTGCATGAAAGCTAAACTTTATTTCTGTCAAGCATCCTATTGAAGTTTTTCACCATTTCAGGATTTGAAGGTTATAAAAAGGTAAGTTTCACATAACTTTCAATAAGTAGAAATATTGGCGTGATGTATGATGCAAGACGCCTTTCTTAAGCATGTTCAGGATTCTATTAGGCTTTGTGGCTGATTTAGAACTGAACTTATACAAATATATATAGGTAGAAGCTTGAAATTGAGCTAGAATAAATCCGTTACTCAGCTAGTCCATTGCAGCGCTAGCTAATAAATTTAGGACAAGAATTAATTAAAATTCTGAGTTAGCCTTTTCAGGATGGAATATACTAGCACTATTCTGTGCCGAGAGTCTTTAAGATATGTCCAACAACAAGCATACTCTTGCATTGATAGCTTAAATTAAGAAGTTGACTAAATAAATTCCATTATATAAGAATCGAGGCATATTCATGAAGTAAATTATGAAATGTTTTCTTCTTCTCCTTTTCTGCAAGCTCTGGTCAAATTTTTTTATTGATTTTGGTTGACTGGAATTTTTTACCTTTTTTAGTAAATAATACATGAGTCTTATATTTAGCTTGATTAGAGGAGAAAAGACTCCAAAATGAAATTACTAGGAATCAACATTTTGCAGGTTTGGTGATTAATTTTGATCAGAAATCTTGAAAAATAGTTTCTTATTTTTAACCATGATGACTGCTTTTTAATACTATGAGTATAACTTGTTCCATTACGATATAGGCTAAGATATAAAGTTAAGAAAAGTAAAACACTGGAGGAAAACTGGAAAGAATTCTTTTAAATTTCAGATTCTCACTGCCTAATTTCTTCATCTCCTCTAAATTCAAGTTCATCAACAGATCTAATACTAATATTTATAATGAACAATACAATCTATCCACCGCCTTCGGGGTTTTGGGGTTTTGGGGTTTTGGGGTTTTGGGG